CTTGGAATGGCCTTGGTGAGGGGCTATTTTGAAATAGCAGAAGTGGAGCTTTATTTCGAAATAGCTATTTCAGAATAGGCGTTATTCCTCATGGAATGGGATTTACAGAAGTCGGAATAAACCATCCATTATTTTGAAATAAATTCAAAATAATGGAATGGCTGTGTAGTTGCTCACTTTGTTTTTTCAAAATAACATTAGTTAGCTTGAAATAATGGTGCAGTGTAGATATGCCCCTAGACTCAGCATAAGCTACGCAATTTGCACAGCGCAAAATGCATAGCGCAAACGGCATTGCTTATTCCAACAGAAGGGTGCTGTCTAGATGCACCCTCATTTATTTCTGACTAGAATGTGAAATAATCTTTCAGATGTGCAGCCTTTTTACAGATCTATCTTAATTTCCCTCTCTAAAGCTAGTTAGTTATAATTACATTTACAAATGAACTATGAGTTCATGAGTATTAATATTCATTGACAAACTTAAATGAGATTTTTGCAAACTTCTGTTTTAAGATTGTAATAGAAATGGCCTTTCACAGCTCTGTTTGGAAGAGGGAATAACTCAGAAGCTAAAGTTAAAGATGTTTCGGGAGGAATTTTATAAAACGTAATTATTGTTAAAGTCTATTATTAGTAATTTAAAAAGACACAAGAAACATTTGTAATAGATAAAATCTTACAGTGAATATTAAAATTATGGTAAGGTAGGCTAAAACCTCAGGTGCAGCAATTGGTACATCTAAAAGGACAGCAAATGTATCTTGCCGTCTTTACGCTCCTCCCCTGCATTGATCTTATAGGCAGACATGGGCTGGTTTTGCCCTGGATGAAACCTAGAAACTCAGGGCTGCTTTAATTTTCACTGCTGGGCAATGTTTCCTATGTTCCCTATAATTTTTTCCATTCATGTGTGCAATATATTTTGTCTTGTGCACCAAGGTATGTGCAGATGTTCACCACCAATAGAAATGCTGCCAGCTGTGGGCACTGGCACATTGCCGATGTGGGCAGCTGGGCACTCTGCCGATAAGCTGGCCAGCACTTGGGTGGCCACCCAAGCAGTCAACTTACAGGGAACACTGCTGGTGGGAAGTAATCACCTAATATTTGTTAGAGCCATAGGGATTGTCTGAATGCAGCATGCTTGAGTCCAGGCCCCTTTACATCTTTGGCATGCTCCATATAATGGGGATGGGTAGTCTGGAGGGAGAAAGTATAGAAATGGATATGCTGGTTCCTCACTAGTTGAGGATTCCCCTACACTGGTAGACACTATGAAATCCCTTCGCAGCACTAAAATAATGCAAAAGGGAATTAGAAAGGCCAAAGCTCTGGATCATATTCAGAATAGGTTAGGTACTAAATGCTCCAGCAAAAGCTAATTAAACCACTAATTGTTGATGCACATGTTAATTCCAGATGCAGCATGGGCTTCTATGTACATTTCAAAGCATTTTCAGATGCCTCAATGGCAATACAGGGTTAGTGTTTCCTGTTCCCTTTTGTGGACTATAAGGGTACACCTACACAGCAACATTATTTTGCAATAACGTCCATTATTCTGAAATAACTATGCAAGAGTCTACACAGCTAGCCCGTTATTTCAAAATAATGGGCAGCTTATTTCAGTGTTTGTAAACCTCATTCTATGAGGAATAATGCCTCTAAAGAAATAGCTATTTCGGAATAGCAGTATTGTGGACACTCCACTGCTGCTATTTCAGAATAGCTCCTCCCCAAAGCCATTCAAAGTATTTACTCTCCAGTGCCTCCTGGGGCTTTAAATCAGGATAGTGTATCCACATTAGGGAAGCCTGCCTCGGAGTAATTTTGAGGCTTCCCTGTAGTGTAGAGGCGGTATTTCAGAATAAGCTATTTTGGAGTATTTCTTCCGGAATAGCTTATTCCAAAATAATCATGCAGTGTAGATGTAACCTAAATGTTTATATCTGTGAGGAGGAAAAAACTCAGTACTCTGCAATCACCTTTCTCTTTTCCCCGATCTGGTTACTGTCATTGTGCAGTCTAAATATTCCTGATGGAGTTTTTTCTCCCTCATCATAATTATATTAAAAGCTTTCAACAAGATCAACTGTTCTGTTTCTGTCAGGTGGACATTATATAAGCATTGCTGGGTGCCATGTCTGTGAGGTGAAATATCAGCCAATCCCTTTAGAAGCAGAGATAGTAGAGCACCAGGCCCTATTTCAATGATGTTTCATAAGAAGATTTATATCTTAGTCACTTAACTAATAGGTGGGCAGCACAGACTGAGATCAGTGAAGAAAAAACTCTTTGCAATACCTTCAATAATACTGATTTTCTGCTGTTTGTTTAGCCTCCCCAATGTACAAGAGAGTTCAACCTCCCTTTCATATAATGGGCTTTGTAGATAAGATCTATTATATATTAACTCTTTGTTTCCTTTAACTCATTGAACATGCATTCTGCTAAGGGACAAGTGTATACTTTGGATGCTCATTGGGGCTATGGCATTCACCAAAACCTACCAACAGAGCATTTAATATGAGCTTAGAGGTTAGCACCTTTCATGGGGAAGGATCCCAAAGTTCATTACAGACATTTATATCTAGGAATCAGTTGAAGCCCGACTGCAGGTGTCCCTTCTTTTTTCAAAAAATGGGCCAATTGTCGCATATTTTCTGTCTCTCCCTCCCAGACAGTTTTCAAAACTGGTGATTTTTAAAAACGTTGTTTTCCACTGGGTCATTTGTTTGCTCTTTGCCGTTATTCCATCCTGGAGGCTGAGAGGGGATTAGTCAGTTTCATTTTTTGTTTCTGGTCAGTTTCATGTCTTGGTGGCCATGGAGTAGCCAAATGCAACAGTGTTGAAGACTGCAGGTGAAACTCAGGTGTTTGAATCTGTCTCATGGAATTTGTTCTTTTAAAAATTTAATGGAAACATCTTGGGTGCTGGAAATGGCTCAGTGGGCGGGGCACAGAACAGGCCCCCCAAAGACATGAGCTCTCTTTCTGAACTGGCTTGCCGAGTAGTTTGGTCAAGGTATTTTCCCTCCCTGAGCTGCATTTGGCCCAGCTGTACAATGAGAAGAATGACCCTGCCCTCCTCTAAGAGCTGCTGCTGACTAGAGCTGTGTAAAAGCCAAGTTATATTGAATGTGATTGTACAGGACTGGGCTGTGTCCTTCTGATGTTGATGATTTCCCATCACAAGTTCTGGCTCTGTGAGTGAACATGGGGAAGCACTAGGTGATGCCTCCTGCCTCCTGTCTTACTCAGAAGAGGGAGGAGTAATAAATAAATGAGCAGAGTGCAGAAGGTTTATGAGGCAGAATGCCTTTTTCGAAAGTACTCTTTTGAAAAACGGTGCTATGTAATGCAAACGGTGCTTTTTCAAAAGAGATCATCCAGACTGCCTGGGTGCTCTCTTTCGAAAAAGCGGCTTGCTTTTTCAAAAGTACTGGTTGTAGTCTAGATGCTCTTTTTCAAATGAGGCTTGCAGTCTAGACGTAGCCTCACAGAAATGGTGATGATGAATCGGTGGCATTCCAAGCCGCTCCCATAAGGTCCCCTTTTTAAAGAAATAGTCCCATATTTAAGCCCTTCTACTGGGGCCTTTTTTTTTTTAAGGCAAATTGGCCTTATTTTCAGTCTCTGCACTTCCACTAGTATTGGTGGGGTTGACTGCTGGCCAGACCCTTGCTTTCCAGCTACCCCCTCACCAGCAGCGGGGCAGGGAAATTCCAGTGGCTGGTGGCTGAGCAAAGTTGCAGTCTGCAGGGCCAGTTGTTTCCCCTGCTGGTCCGTGAGTGCAGTCTCTGCTGTGTGCCCCCTCTCGGCCAGCAGGCTTCTCTCCACCCCATTTCCAGCACTGACTGGTGGCTGCAGTGGTTGGGTGAGTGTGGGCAAGTGATGGCTGGTTACATGTCACCTCTGCTGCCCACCCACCAGCTCTTTACATGCTTCTCCTCTATTCTCTCCATGCTGTGCTCTTTCACCCACCCCCAGCCCCTCTGCTCCTCCATATCCCACCCCGTGAGGTACATCCACTCCTGGCACCGTGCAAAAAACCAGCCACTGGTCGGATCATTCAGCTTATTGGCTGGGCTAGCACCAGGAAAAGTTCAAGGTCTCTGACTCGGGGCTCTGGCCAGGAGGAGCCAAGCCCTGCATGTGCCAAAGCCCCACACAGTGCTGGCATGAGCCTCGGCTCTGCAGTGGCAGAGAGAAAGCCCTTTCCAGCCTATTTGCAGCCTGATCTTGCAGGTCTCCCGGCAGGGGCATTTAGCACCTTCATCACAAGGATTCCACTAGGCCCCCTCCCCTGCTGAGCCACCTCTTTGGCTGGGATGGCTGAAGCCCCTGCAGCCAGGTTCCCCCCTCTCCTCTGTTCTGCTGGAATCAGCTCCCATCCCTTCCCTCCCACATAGGACTGAAAGGTTGCTGCTGGATATATTCTGGTGTGAAACATGACAGAAATCTGGAGAGGAGGGCTATGACCAGCGGAGCTGACAGCTTCTGCAGCTCCCTGGGCAACATAGGGAGTCCCCAAGCTTCATGTTCCTGGAAGGAACAGGGATGAGGGCAGCTGGCCCTCAGGACTACTTGGAGCATGGCACACCCCCCATAGCTCTTAGTGCTGCTTGGAGCGCACGGCCCAGCAGATTTAAAGGGCCCCGGGGCTCCAGCTGCCTCCATTGCTGCTACGGCAGCGGTGGCAGGCAGAGCTGCAGGCCCCTTTGAATTTCTGGGTACCAGTGCAACAGTCTTCTCCTCATCCCCCAGTAAGCGAGCCCACGTGTGACCCTGCCCATTCCCCACATATTGCCTTGAGAAGATGATGGTCCAGGTACCAAGAGAGGCATGTTCAGGAAAGTGTGTGTGTGTCACCGCTCCCCATACATTCCAGGTGTGTGGCATTTCTTTTTAACAGGGGCACAGGCAACTTGATGTTAATTTGAACAATTGTACCACAGAGTTCTGAGTGATTGCCATTGAACTCACTTGACTACGAGTACTTTTACCAGATGTCCTTTATTGAGCATTGGGAAATATGGTGACCTTAACTGGGGGCAATTTTGTGGCCTGTGTTGTGTAGAAGATGAGACCAGGTGATTATAAATGGTCTCTTGCTGGCTGTAATCTGTGAATTTGTGAATAGAGAACTCCTCCCTAACACGTGAAATAAGAAAATTAGACTTAATCTTCTATGGCTTTACAGAGCAAGAATACAGGAAGCTCATGTTTAAACCCTAGAAAGCAATATAGCACCTTTCTTATTTTGCTATAGTAGGTAATGTTTTACAAAGTAAAATATAAGGAAATATCATCCCAGCAGTAAGAGTTTTAGGAGTTTGCAGAGTAGCTGTCATGTTAAAGTAGCTTTGTGCGTGTGTTACTTTGCTGTTAGAAATGTTTGCTTCAGTTGGCTAAGTTCATTTAAAGCAATTACTAGTATAATAGCATGAAGTCAGTAAAGCATACTAAGAACTTATAGTGCTTATTTTTGCAGCTGGTAAATTTTGGCTCTTCAGAAGTTGTGTTGGACTTGCTCACAACCGGCATCAGAATGCATTGCCCAGATGGGGCGAGCAGGATCATTTTCATCCAGCTTTATCTGCAGAGAAATGAGGAAGATAATATGATACAATCTTTCAAAAGAAAGACTTGCTACTTTGCCATTGTCTCCCAGAGTGGCAATAACAGAGGGAGAGGACTAAGAGCTGGAAAGAATGATTACAGCTCCCTTGCTGTATTGCAGCTTTAGCCTTTGTGGCTTCTTATTACAAGCACTCTCTCTCCTCAATAAGACAGAGGAAAACAAACAATGTGCTGTTCATTGTTGCTGCTACTGGTGCTCTGGATGAAGCTTCACACAGCTGGAGACTTTCACAGAATCATCGAAATTAAAGATGGAAACAAGTCCATAATCTTGCCATTGCAGGTTTCTTCCCAACAGTAGATTTATTCTTTAGTGCCTTGCAGAGCTGCATTTTACATGAGGCAAGTAATAGAGCTTCTTTCCTGTCTCTTGGGTTGCTGTTCTACAGGCTAGCTGACCTCACTATTAGCAAATTTCTCCCCCAACGTTCAGCCTTAGTTTCTCTCTGCTTAGTTTCATCTGATGATTCCTATGTGCCTGACTCATCTTCAATTATTCCCCTGTCAGGGAGCATACACTCTTCACATACTTGTTTGCAGTTATTTTGCCCTCTTAGTACTAGTTAGTGAAATTAGCAGTTATGTCTTTGAGTAAATCCTTTCTGCTTCTTATACACGTAATGGCATTTTTCTGAAGAAAAGATGTGACCACCACCCTTCTAGTGAAGCCCATCTTCCTGGAGGCAAAGGTGCTGAAATAGATTCATAGAATACTAGGACTGGAAGGGACCTCGAGAGGTCATCGAGTCCAGTCCCCTGCCCCCATGGCAGGACCAAATACTGTCTAGACCATCCCTAATAGACATTTATCTAACCTACTCTTAAATATCTCCAGGGATGGAGATTCCACAATCTCCCTGGGGAATTTATTCCAGTGTTTGACTACCCTGAAAGTTAGGAACTTTTTCCTAATGCCCAACCTAAACCTCCCTTGCTGCAGTTTAAGCCCATTCTGTCCTCAGAGGCCAAGATGAACAAGTTTTCTCCCTCCTCCTTAGGATACCCTTTTACATACCTGAAAACCGCTATCATGTCCCCTCTCAATCTTCTCTTTTCTAAACTAAACAAATCCAATTCTTTCAGCCTTCCTTCATAGGATAGGTTATGTTCTCTAGACTTTTAATCATTCTTGTTGCTCTTCTCTGGACCATCTCCAATTTCTCCATATCTTTCTTGAAATGCGGTACCCAGAACTGGACACAATACTTCAACTAAGGCCTAACTAGCGCAGAGTAGAGCAGAATAATGACTTCTCATGTCTTGCTCACAACACACCTGTTAATGTATCCCAGAATCATGTTTGCTTTTTTTGCAACAAATAGAGCTGGAGTAGTCATCACCAAAAAACTGACAATTACCAACAACTGCCACAGGATGGTATCTGAAATAAACCTGCTTTTCCCTGTTTAAAATAGGGAATAACAAAGGAACTGTAACTTAAATACTAAAGTGCTGCAACTTAGTTAATGCAGCACACTTTACTAATGCACATTGTACAAGTTTGTATATTTGGCATGTTTACTAAAGATTATGAAATGTATAGCATCATAATTAATCCTGGGCCATGACATGGGGTCTTCCATCACCAAAGCATTTTATACACAAAGACACATGTAGGAGGGTAGGGCCTTTGTATGGGGAAACTGAGCCATAATGGGAGTCATGTAATATGTTTAAGAAACAGAACGGGCATAGAGGAGTTTCCTGCTCTGTGGCTGGGGAGCACTGCCTTCTCATACATTCCCATCAGCTAATATTAACTCATTCTGTCTTGAATCTTCTGAGTCACCTAAAATGACTCTGTGACCCGGAGCTCATCTGTCACCTCCTGACAGAAATGTATGTGCTTGCCAGAAACATCATAGCCCTCAGTGAGTTTAATGCTTGTGAAACAGGAGGGGCTGGTAATTTTTTTAAAATAAAAAGCTCATTTTACATGCTGAAAGGAACGTAGGAAGGTGTTACCTGGAAGAGCCTCGTTTCCAGGGTGTGCCTATTTTCCTCCGCTGCTGGCATGGTCTGAGCACACTTCTTCATATGGTGCTCGTTTGACAGCGACAGGCTGGCAGACCTGTAATAAAACAGTTCAGTTTTCTCTTATTGATTTCCCTCTGCATTTGCAAATTGTACACAGCCAAAACAGAAACCTGCCATTTCCTAGCTGAGTATTTTACGCCTCACAACATTTTCATTCTCTTGAAAATCCCAAACTACAGTATTTTAAAGTGTCCAAAAGAGACTGACACTCTGCTCCTCTCAACCTTTAGTCAGGGTTGGGTGGCCAAATCCTGGCCATAAGTGCTGCTGAAGCCATATTTAGGAACAGCTGGCCTTCTGCATTGTATATACTATCACTCCTGCTCACTCCAAGCCTGTAGCCCAACAGGGCCTATCATGTTAGAAGCTCCTTCAATAGCCAGTCAGTGTTTTTCTGACTGCAGGCAAGACAGATGGGTGAACACTGAAAAAAACAACAAATAGTCTGGTAGCACTTTATAGACTAACAAAACATGTAGATGGTATCATGAGCTTTCGTGTGCACAGTACCAGCAAAACTGCACACCAAACCTCCAGCACTTCTAGCTCTTGTGGGAAAAGAGTCAAGCTTGGCCAAAGTCATTTTTAAAGATATTTTCTCTTCACCTTTTCTTTAGGGGAAGTTCTCCCTAGTTCTTTCTGATGGGAAATGTAAACTGGCATAGCCACTGAAGTCTCAGAAATCCTTCAACTGCCAAGTCTGTCCTTAACTGTGTATTTGCCTCTGATAAAATACATACAGGCCAGTTTTGTTCTTTTGTGGATCCAGATTTTTTAATCTCCATCCCACATGTGGGTTGCTGATACAGCTATAATACCAGAATCTGGATGCAACAGAGTTCTGATACCAAGCCTCAGTGCTGCAGCACTCAGCCTCTCATTATGCATTAAATAAATCATATACAGGCAGTCCCCGGGTTACGTACAAGATAGGGACTGTAGGTTTGTTCTTAAGTTGAATCTGTATGTAAGTCGGAACTGGCATCCAGATTCAGCCGCTGCTGAAACTGA